TTCAAATATTCAAGCATTACATAAAATAAGGCATTGTGACTGGTTTCATAAATTGCTATTATTATAATAGCTTTTATATTTTTTATAAAATGTTTTGCAAAATATATTCTATAGTCTAATACCAGCCTAAGACATGTTGCCAAAGATATTATTTACGTTAAATTTATTACAAGAAAAAAATAATTAAAAAAAGCAAAATGAAAAACAATTCCGTTAATACAAAATATTATACTTTCAACACTTGTCATATTTTTATATTTGAAGTGTTTACTTTTATGCCTTGAAAGTTTTGTAGGTTTGTGAGAAATAAAAAAAGCTGAATTATGTTGATTATTTGTTGACTCTGTTGTATTAAATTGTATAAATCCAAGCCCGAGATCATTATATGAGAAAAGAGGAGTTATTATTTCTGTTGAATGTACATATGAGGGCGGTACCTGTGTTTATTAATAAAAATAAATCATTCTTCCAAAACGTTTTTTATTTCTATTAAATAATTATTAACCAAGTCAGAAAATTCTAATTATAAAAATTTAAGTGGTAACTGGTGTAGGAGAGATTGGAAGGGGGGGGGGGGGGCGACCTCTGCAAATTTTTGGTACCCAGACTATAGTAGGTCTGTTTTTAATTTTCGATTAACAATAAGCAAAGTGTATGATTTAATTGTTTAGTAACAGATGGTTACAATTTGAGGTTAATTTAATATTATTTAAAAGGTAAGGAATAACAAAGGGTTTACCGCATTGTGATAAAGACGTTTATTTTACTAGTAGTTTCAAACACAAAAACAATATTTTGAGAAAATAGTCTAGAATTCTACCCTTTTAAATATAAACGGGTTAATTCTTTCTTAATAATTTACAAAGCATATTTAATTTTTCCTACATCTAAGACAAGCTTATTTTACTTTAAATTCTATACTTACTGTATTTTGCCTTTTTCCTCAAGTAGTAGAAGTGATGATCTAGTTAATTAATTGATAATTTATACAGAGTAGCTGTTAGAGATGGAACCAAACCTATAGTGCTTAAACGGTTCAACATACAAAACCCAGAATTTTAACTAAATATATTTGCGCATATTTTAGCCCAAAAATTATTTTTTATATAATTACAAAATTTTAAACATGGCCGCCATCCTGATTTTTTAAATAGCTCATGTGATATATCGTTCGAAAGGGTTTAACACCCTGATTACAAAAATGTATAACACATGGGGTCTAAACACAACAGAAAGAATATTAATAGGGAGCGTAGGAGGCTGTGCATTTGACACAAGACGTCAAATAGACCCCATGTGAGATACATTTTTGTAATCAGGGTGTTAAACCCTTTCAAATGGTACAGCACATGACCTATGTTGCTTATTAAAAAAATCAAGATGGTGGCCATGCTTAAAAATTTGTAATTAGAAAAAAAATAATTTTTGGGCTAAAATATGCACAAATATATTTAGTTAAAATTCTAAAATTTTGGGTTTTGTATGTTGAACCGTTTAGGCACTATAGTTTTTGTTCCATCTTTAACGGCTACCCTGTATATACCCACGTTGCGATAATGTTAATTAAGGTAAAGCAGGATTCGATGCAAAGTTTGGTGCAAATTGATAAATAAAACCAGACAAATTTATATTTAAACTCTTATTTTTCATACTTTAAATGTGATGCAACAATTAGCAAAGTATATTACAATTGGTACTATTTACTGAGATCTCACTTGAGCCCCGTTCAAACGCAGACCACGTTCATTTGCTATCAAGATATATTTTATTTAGGTTGATGACTAACGGAGTTAACGAACAGCGTCAATTCGCCAGTTGGTTTACTACTGTGTTGATGTTTATATTCTTATTTAGGTTGATGACCAACGGAATTAACGAATAGCGCCAGTTGGTTAACTACTATGTTGATTTGATTCTATTCTAGATATACACAGCAGGTTGCACCCTCTTAGGTAAATATTTCGATGAGTATAGCGGTGTTGACCAACGGAAGTAACGAACAGCGCCAATTCGCCAGTTGGTTACCTTACTATGTTGATTTCACATATAATTTGTTTCAATCCTAGTAGAATGGGTGGCTTAGCATATAGGTATCCCCCCGTGAGCTAATAAACAGTGTATTCACCAGTTGTTGAACTTACTGTTAAATTTTACCATCTTGTTTGTACAATTTATCGAAGATAGCACATCCCTGTATATTTCTAAAATATTGATTTAATAATTTATATTGAAATGACTTAATACAACCCTGTATATTTCTTAATATTGACTTTTATAATTTCCATTGAAATACTCAAAATTTCACCCATCGAAAACAGGTGTCTTTCCTAACTGTCTTTCGGGGTGTATGACCTGAAGGCCATGTGGTTTATTGGTTACATTGATAATATTTTGCAGAAAATGTCAAGCCCTCGTTTAAACGAAACCCCGGTGGTATCTCAAAGAAGAGGAAGGTATTTAATACGGTACTGCATTGGGACAGATATACGGTAGAAATATTTGGTGGCGCGGGACGTGACGAAGGGCGTCGACAAGGATATTATTTAAAGAAGGCAAGCGTCGAGAAATAAGGCGTGGGACGTTGACAGCGTTCGGAGGATAGGAGATATTGTAGGATAGACGTTGTTTAGGAAGAGCGTTTTAGGAAAGGTACTGACTACTGAACTTGAAATATAACTGGATACAAATAATAAAATGAATGCTTGCACATCAAATAATAAAAAATGAATCAATCCGAGCTCATTTTGGGTCTGGGTTCTTATAGCACTTTTAATGGCTTTTTGTGACGTCCCTGTTTGTCTTAGTTCCCAGCGAAAAACGAATTAGGGTGGAAAGAAAAGTGTGGGTGGTAAAGTTATTATGTGCCTTGGGAGCTTTTTGTGTATCAAAATATTGTCGAAATAGGTCCCCAATAAACCCAGTTAATCGGCACCGTAACTGGGCCGAAGGAGGCTTGCTAGATGCCGGATTCGGCCCGATATACGGGTGCAACTTCGGCATATAGGTAGGGCATGTCCGCCCATCCGAATATCGGCGGCCCACTACATTGTAGCCGCGTTCATATATGTATATATAGTTCGGCCCGTAAGGATATGCCTCCCATGCCTGGCTAACCAAATATTTACCGCGTTCAGCCCGTAAGGATGCCTCCCATGTCTGGAAAGTCAAATATGGACCACTCCCACATCACACGGACGTCTTATGGACGTCTAAAAGACGTCCTTCAGGGACATAAAGGGACGTCCGAGGGACGTCCTCTTTTGGTACTGTGATGTCAATCGGACGTCCAATGGACGTCCTAATGTCCCGTTTCCGTCCATCTTAGGGGCGTCATTGGAACATCCCAAAAAGACGTCATAGGGACGTCCTAGGGACATAAATCAGACGTACGAGAGACGATATTTGACCATAATCCATAGATTGTAATAATAACAAAAATGTTAACAATAAAAGGGCTTTATTTAACATCTTTTATCCTGAAAAAACTAGCTAGAGTTAAACGTTTCAGTTTACAAAAAAAAAAAACAGGAATGAATTAAATTTAACACACAGCGCTGGTAAGATGAAACCTTGGGTTCTACTTCTAAATTACGTCAAATGGTACGGTTCTACCGGCTCAGAAGCTACCCCGACAACGGCAATCCGAGTACTCGGCTTCCCGTACATGCCGGTGTCAGGCCCAGCGAATGCCGACTATTTGTGGTTTACTGGAAAGGTAGTGAGGTGAAAATTAATAAAAAAAGAATGGAAAACTAAAATAAAAAATCGACCTGTTCGAGCTTTACCTTTTAAAATAATTAACTGTGGATGGTGGAGCGTTTTCACACTTTATTAATGGACCATATATAAAAGTATCTGGACGGTCAATTTGTTGATATTGTGGTGAACTGTTAGACTGGTCCCTAGACTGGTTGTCATGGTTATGTGGAGACGTTTTGAATTTTGACGTTAGTTTTTAGTTTTTGAGTTTTCATAAAATATAATTTATATAAATAAACGTTTCCAAAGTTTATCCAGTGTGTTAATGGTGTTATTTAACTAAAAGAATAAAATATTTTTTAGCTTTCTGCATATGCGGCGGTATTCATTTATATAGTTGACTTATATATGTTTAAGAGTCATCTTCCAACCGATCCCTTAATATTATCAGGGGGTGCGGGCCGTTGCAAATTTCACACTTGACGAAGGTGGGTCAATAGATTGTTTATCTATTAGTTTTGTTGTTAATAGATTTCAGTGCGAAGGGTGCCACATTACGGTTAGAAAAATATTACTTGCAGAGGGTCAGGCCGTGCGCGATTAATAATTTATTTTTTGACTTTTTTGAAGAAAGAACATTTTAGTACAAAGTTAAAGATTTGCAGCAGGGATATATAGAATTAGATTTTCCAAATTAATAATAGCAATATTTAAAAAAAATTAATCATTTTGTTCTTATACATCCCTAAAAATAAGTTTTCTTTCATCACCTGCACAAGCAGTTTTAAGTAATTTTGAAAAATAAAGTTGTAATTGCGCACGAGCTTAACCGTTGTTTTTGGCTTAAAAATTCAGGCGGAGGATGGCCCTTAATATAAACTGTATAAATAGCTACTTTGATCATTTTGACTATATCCATTAAGAAACAGTAAACTATCACAATTGTTTTCGATAATGAGCCTCAAAATCAGGACGCAGTGTCTTGCCATTTCAAGATAAATCGATGAACTCATAATTTTATAATATATTCAATAAATCAAAAATATTAAATTATTAATTTTTATCGCAAACCGTTTCCACGAATTTACTTTCTCTTGTCTAAATAAAATTATTAGCTGGCACTGTAATATATAGTATATTAATTACATAAAAAAATATACGCAAAATTGGCTGTAATTAATTTTAACAATTATTGTAAGTACGGACCTGTCTATCTTATTAAAAATAATGTTCCTAATAAGAACATAAAATAATTATACCCACATGCAACATGACAATAAATTATTTAGTGATAGTGATATAGACAGCCTGGAAGATAATTATGAAGTTTATATTATATTTACGTGAGAGCCTCAACGTAATCAGTAAACCAAATTTACCATTTAATTGACAGAATGCGCAGATTTGTAGCCGGCAAGGCGGCAAAGAAAGAACTGAAACATGAACATGACAGTATGCATTTGATTCTTAAGCGAAAGTGTTATTTTCTCTGCGTCCGATATCAAATTGTGAGAGCACTAAAAATAAAAATACAAGAAGAAAGAACTTAGCTTGGCTTGGCTATAAAAGTAATGTTAAAAATAAACCACGTAAATAAACAATAGAGGTAAAATTAACATCGACGTTGTTTTCAAAACAAAACAAAAGTTTATGGTGGAATGTTATCCGATCCAGTTCAGTACGCGCCTGTATTGTTTTGGTTTGGTTGGTCGCATATTTTTTAAGGAAACGTCAAATTTGTAGTGTCAAGTCATGTGTAAGTAGCCTACATTTTAACAACTTGTATTAATCTACGATTAAGTTTTAATTATTGTCGGCAATGGTGTGAAACTCTGCAAGGGTAAGGCATAAATTTATTAACTTTCTGCATCCCTTGGCCTCAGGTTTGTCCTCAAGACCTTGATGAATATCTTCTAACTTTTAACTAAATGCGTTTTAACTGTAGAGACGTCAACACATTTTTATTAGAAAGTAACTACATACAAGCTGTGATAAAATACTAATAGATCCTCTCTTATCTTTGTGTATATTTCAAATTGTACAAAAATAGAATTTGCAAACTAAAGACTTTCACAACAGTAACTTCTTATTTGTAATTTTTAACATAACCTGTTTTATATATATTTTAGTCACACATGTCTTTGTTTTCTAGCAACCTCGGCGCAATTTAGAGTATTTAGTGTTAACAAAATGGATTCTTTAGTGGGGAACGTAAAGAGTAAACACATTGACATGGGATCCCCCATTTTAAAGTCCATTGATCCAAACATAAATAATGATAAGTCTAGCCAAAAAAAACATGCCTCTGGAGATAATCAAAGAACTGATATTCAAGAAGGACTATTTTCACTAAACCTAAATGCAGATGTAGATAATGAATCAAGGAGTGTTTTACTTCTGGATGATAAAGAAAATCTTCGGATACATTCAGAGGACGGTTTTTTAAAAGCATTAAACATTAAGCCACACGAGAAAATCAAAGTTGTCTCTATATTTGGAAATACTGGTGAAGGAAAATCCTACACGATGAATAAAGTGTTTTTCGATGGGGAAGAATGTTTTAAAACTTCTATGTCACAGACTTCTTGTACATTGGGAGTATGGGCAATGTACAATCCAAAATATAATGTTATTTGTTTGGACACAGAAGGATTTCTAGGTAAGTACATTTTTAACTTTTATACTGTACTAAATGTACACATTTATACTATGATCAATCTACTATTTAACATTAATAAAAAAAATTACGTTTGCTTCCTTTTTATTAGTATATACAGATAAATAAGGCTGACTACAAAAATTTTAGGAATAACCTTTGATGGAACCCAATGTTTTAAAACCTATTGCGAAAATCTGTCATCTTAAACTACTATTTGCAGATGATTTAAAAATCTTTAAAATTGTTGAAAGTATATCTGATTGTTTTGATTTACAGACTGATATTGACAACCTAGCATTGTGGTGTAATGTAAATTGTATGAATTTGAATTTAAGTAAATGTTTTTATATTAAGTTTAATAGGTGCCATACTATTATAGACTATACTTATTGTATCAATTCATTAGATCTTGAATTGGCGACCCAAATAAAGGACCTTGGCATAATGTTTGATGAAAAATTTACTTTTTCAGAACACATTACAATGATATCATTAAAAACCAGAAAGTTGTTGGGTTATATACAAAGAATCTCTAATGGTTTCTCAATAAATTCTTTTAAAATTCTTTACTGCACTCTTGTTCGTTCTAATATGGAATATGCAGCTGTTTTCTGGAACCCTTATTATTGCATTCACATTAATAGACTTGAAACGGTTCAACATAAGTTTCTGAGATGCTCAGCATATAAATTAGGAGTGTTTATAAATAATTACGATTATGATTATGCTAACCTATGTTCCAGATTAGAGATCACAACTTTGCAGAACTGGAGAACTCAATTAGATCTATGCTTCCTATTCAAACTTTTGTCTGGGTCATAATATTCTCCTGATATTTTATTAAAAATTGATCTTAAAATGAATAGTGCAACCAGAGCTAATGAAACTTTTTTTATTAGACACCATAGACAAAATTAAGGCTTTTATAGTCCATCAACACGATTGGTTAGGAGTGCTAACAGTATAGAAATAGACTTGGATTTTTTTGGTTTGTCATATCCTTCATTTAAAAGAAGTATTGCTATCCACTTTCTTAATGACGCTTGAAAGTACTGTTATTGTCTGTCTTGTTAATCAAATGTTTTAATCATATGTTTTAATCAAATGTTTTACATGATACAATTTTTTATGTTGTTTTTTATTTTGTATTTGTGCATATAACATATATTTTTTATTGTAAAATGGGGTTTTCCCGTAAATAAATAAATATATAAATAAATAAAAAACTTGCTCTAAAATTCCAACATTTATAACATATTTATTATGCTGATATCCACTATCCATTATGAAGCTGAAACTAGCAGCCAGAGTTAGGTTAGGTGAGAAAATGCATACAAGTTAGATATCACAAAATATTGGTTGAGGATTCCATTTATGTATGATAAAACCCAGCGCCGTTAATTTTTCATTAAAAAAACAATATGTTTTTTGGGTTAGGTATTATTCTAGCATACAAATATAATAATTTCAACAATCCAGCACTCGATATTGTTTTTTTGATTGATGTGTTCTTGTACCCTATTACTTGAAGAATCTCTTTATGTATGATTTAACCCAGCGCCGATCATTTTTCGTTAAGAAAAATTTGAATATATATTTAAAGTTTTTTTTTAAAGTACCTATATTCATATCATTTTTTCTAATTTTTTTTTCCAAATATAGATATCCCTACTTTGTTATTATCATTATTATTGTTATCATTACTAATATTATTATAATAAGACAAATTAAGTAGTAATATTGCTTTATTTTGTGATATCTAACTTGTATGCATTTTCTCACACAGGCTGCTAACTCTAGCTGCTAGTTTCAGCTTCATAATCTTAGTGGATATCAGCATAATAAATATGTTATAAATGTTGGAATTTTAGAGCAAGTTTAAGATTTTTAAGTTAAAAACACTTCAAGTTTAATAAAGATGACAGATTCTCGCAATATGTTTTAAAACATTGGGTTCCATCAAAGGTTATTCCTAAAATTTTTGTAGAGTCAGCCTTGTTTATCTGTATATACTAATAAAAAGAAAGCAAACGTAACTCTGGCTCAAGATTATTGTATGTACTGACACCACCTAATATGTTTAATATTTACAATACCTATCTGTTTATTTGGATCATAATTTTTTCATGTTATGTACACTTATCTACTGACCTATCCAATAATTTATAACTAGTTAAAATGTATTATTCAAAAATTTGTTTTGATTGATTTGATTTGGAAATTTTCTCAAAATGTATCAACACTAAATTCATATGTTTTGTATATAAATAATACTTTAATTTTTGGTAATAAATAGCTGGCATAATTAATTACAATATTACTACTAGCTTGGCTGCTGACCAAAATGTGGGAAGTACGTTGAAAAGCTAAATTACACTTTTCATAAAATGTGTATAAATATTGAAAATTTTGATTTTCTTAATAGTACTTATACAATGTTTTTATTAGATGACTAGACAGTCTAAATTAAATTATAGTAGTAATCTTCATTATTCTCAGAAAAAGCAGTGATGGCCCTTGGAAAGTTTTGATGATAGAGCCAATTATAACTATACCTTCGATGCCTTCTTTTTAAAAAATAAAAACCTATTTATCTTTCTAGTCACAGGTTATTTTGAGTTAAAAAAATAAACTTGTAAATAATTCAATTTCGTTAATCAAATTAGGTAGAGGTTTTCCTATCTGTTTAATTTGTCCTTTTTCTTTGACTGCACATGAGCAAAATGGCTTATTCCGTTAATGAACTAATTCTATTCATCTTCTTTGTTATGGTATTTGAATTACCCTTAATAGTAGTACTTCAAAAAGATTTTTCTGGTCTAGATCAACTATACATAGTATATGTTAAGTAGTGATAGAACGATATCACTTTTTTTGACGATACCGATATTTACGTGCCGATATATCGTATCGGCAAACAACGCCATCTATTTATACACGAACGAAGCAAAAACCGGGGAAGTTCCGTTTTATAATTCCATTGCAAGGAAACGTTTGCGATTGCGCCATCTATTTATACACGACCGAAGCAAAAACCGGGGAAGTCCCGTTTTATAATTTCGTTGCGAGGAGACGATTGTGAATGGTACTGAGTGACATTTTGGATTTCGGGGGAAGCCCCTTATATTCTGTAGTACTTTAAAACACGGCGTTTTAAACTTGACTGTTAATTAGAGTAAATAAAATAAATAAATAAAAATATTCTATTTAAATGGAACGTTCAAATAGAATGGAAGCGAAACGGGCGCTGGTAGAAAGAGAATGGTTGCAGATTATTTTGGATAGGGTAGTAGTAAAGAAGCGGAAAATAAAAAAAATCAAAAGTAATGACAAAGGTAAAAAGAGCATCTTTTGTAGACATTTTGAGAAGATGCAGACAGATAAATCTGAAAACGAAAAAGCGACGTGTAATAGCTGTAAAAGTACAATCTCTTTGCTGATCTATCAACAATTATCTTACCGATACGATACCGATAATCGGCAACAACTGCCAATATACCGATATCAATATTGGTATAGTTCTATCCCTAATGTAAAGTAACAAGAAATTTAAAAACAAAACAAACCTTTACATCTAGTGAACTTAATTTAGTACAATCCTCAACTTTCTTAGGCTAACATTAAAGATTTCTGTTTGGACCTCGCTAAGAAACTCATTGGTAACAGCCATCATCTTGTTAAAAGGAGATATACTATTTGGATCTAAACTAATTAATTTTTTGATACTTGGGATTCTTAGATTAATCTTTGCCACATTAAAATTAATTTTATTTATTTATTTATTCAAATAGGTACACTATAGAATTACTATTCTAAATGGTACACACAATTAAAATATACATTATGTCAAATCAACCAACTCGGGTCACAAAACTATACCACATTAAAAAAAAAACAAGAAACATAATAAAAGCAAGACAGCGTTAAAATTGCATACAAATTAAAACAAAATTATTTAGAAATGTTCAAATTGTTCTTTAGTGCATATGACGTTGTATAATCATAGTCAGAGTAAAGCTTATTCTATATGTATAGTCAATCAAATCATAATCTTAAAATATTATTTAAAATAGAGTACAAAATATATCACAGCCTGTTGCTTTATTCTTTGCAAAAGAGATTTAATCGTAAAGCTATTGAGCATAGTTTTATATGAGATCTTATAAGGATACAAGTTGTTTTTATGACATAAAGGTATCATAAAAATATTTTTTGTACTTTTTCAATATGATCAATATGTGTGACTTTCAAGGGCATCCATATTTGTGAAATATACTCAAGATGAGGTATTACTAAGGCATTATATAATCTGATTTTGGTGGTAATCCTAAAATTTTTTGTATTTCTGATTTAAAAACCCAAAGCTTTTATTGTTTTTTTATTTATGCGTAAGAAATGGTTATTAAACTTCAAATTAGACTAAAAGGCAACTCCCAAATATTCACAATTTAATGTGACATCACAGGTCTTGTGTCTAATGTAAACAATTAAGAGCCTACGGATCCTTACAACTTAAAATATGCATATGTTTGCAAGTGTTAAATAGACGGATACAAAGTGTTATTTTTTATTTACAACTATAATAAGAACCTATTCAAAAGATTAAGAGCAATAGAACATATTTCAACAATTTCTATAGGTACACATATTTTTGATACCTGATTATCAATAAACAATATATTTTTTGGAGTGGCAACAGGTGTATTAATACCCAACTATTATTTTGTTACAAATATTTATAATTAACGTAATAGTTGATATAAGTCATTTAAAAATAATATATTTTGATTTAATTGTTGAATTTATACATGAGCAATTTTTCTTGCAGCATTGTTTACACTTTTCAGAGGACTATTGTGTTCTGATTTTAGCTGATAAATAATAATAATAATAATAAAAAAAAAAAAAAAAATATTTATTTTTCAAAAAACATGAATACAAACAAGTAAAGAAAAAATATACGTACAAGAAAAATAAATATAAAGTTGTCGATGAGCGAA